TAGGCTTGACAGTTACAGGTACAGAGCATTGCATACTCTTACAGTTACATGTAAATGTATAACTGTATTGGAAAGCCATGTTCTTCCTTATATAACCTGATATGCTGCTAACACCGTGTGACTTTCAGGGAATGTAGCTCACCGGCGTGTGTTCTCTAAGTATCGGAAATGAATACAGATTCTTGGAATTGATCTTCAACACTTATTTCAGGAGCAAATAACAGTAACAATTAAACAATTTATAATTTCCTATAAATTATATAGGCTCCAACTATTATATAGGCTCACTAAGCTGGTCTCTCCAACTAATGAATCATCTATACATTTGTCTTTTTATATGAATTAGTTACTATAAAAGATGTTGACATAAACATATAACTATTGAAGGCTTAAGTCTTAAGGCATTTAAAACAATAGTTAGAAGAAACTTAACAGATCAACCACTTTAGTTGCCAGCCTGTAATAATTTAAATTAACTGACAGATTAATTGCTATCTACCTCTAATGACTAACCATGCATTAATGAATATTAATATATAGATCCCAAATTAAAAACAGAATTAAAAAATAATAAAATAACATATGACCTAGACATTGGTCATACTCCCAACAAAGTATTTTGCTGTTCAGATTTTGCATACTGATGATATTTGCTTATAATGGGTTTTTGATCATAGTACATGTACATGTAAACTGTAAATAAGTTCCAGTTTTATATCATTATCATATTTCGCAACTCATTATATTCAGTGTATTTACATAGTAAACCAAGTCCAACCACATACTTACCTACATGTAGATTATAGTTTATAAAGGCAAGTGATACTATATGAAATACTGTATTTCATGTATGTTTATAGAGGTGGAAATGATATGCAATATTACTTTGTTCAGTGTGTTCAAAGATCCTTTATAAAGCTTAGCATTTGTCATTATGATACAATTTCATAACAAGGTACATATATATATAATATACTATTGACATTTAATTTTTTTTTATATTTTTAAGCTTAAATGTTGTGTATTTTGAAAATAGTTTAACACATAAATATTGACTGTAATTTGTTTTCTTTTTATTTCAGGTGATGTTAATAGGTGATAGTGGGGTAGGAAAAACATGCTTATTAGTTCGCTTCAAGGATGGTACTTTTTTATCTGGTAGTTTCATATCTACAGTAGGAATAGACTTTAGGGTAAGATTGACAACTGTAAAAGATTGTAGCCTGTATTATTAATATTATACAATTGTCTGTTATAATTAAAATAAAGGAATGTGCATGAATCGTGATGTGATCCACATTTAATATTATATTTTCAGTTTTAGAGTCTTATCTTTTTAGTCCATAAAAACGCAAAGGAAGGGTTAAAATATAGATCATTTGGGGGATGGGAAGGGGAGGTACATTTAGAAAGTTTATATTCAGTGAACCACGAATTGATCTTCAGAAGTCCCAAAGTTTCTCTCTCTTACCTGAGAGTTTATTTTTCACAGCTTTATTTACCTGTGCAGAAAATATTAAGGAAGCCTTTGTCTCCAAAGTATATGCTCGAATTGAGATATTTGATTTAATATTTAGTGTTGTCAAATAATTCACTTTCTCAATGTAAACATAAAAGTTTGGATTAAAATAATTCTGCTAAATTGTAGGATTATTTCCTGTTTATTCGGTATATAATCTACTGAGAATTATAACATATTACAGGAATGTTCACTTTTTTGTCGGCAAATACGCACACGGAAATGCCACAAAAATCCTCACTCACCAAACAGGCCTGATTGAAGTACGTAGTAATTGTACACCACTGTCATAGACAATATACTTGTATAGACTAGAGTTTAGTTTTTTTGAAACCCAGATTCTTATAAAATTAAATAAATGTGACTACATGTATAAATTAAAGATGCATTATGTAAGAATTAGATAGAAAGCTGGCCATTCTTGGTATAATAGATACATTATGTAAGATTTAGATAAAGAGCTAGCTATTCTTGCTATAATAGTTCGAAAATAGATAATGTAAAATGAATAATTTGAAAATTTCATTCAAATTACTCTATTGCAAGCGAAGATATTAGCCTTTGAAGGTTTGACAAGACGTGTAATAATTTCAACCACGGTACTGGTTGTTCGAAGCTAAGTCTCGCTCCTCCATTTTTAACTTAAATCAAAATATGGCTGAACTCTTCTAAAGTATTTAATATTGGAGAAATCCGATGCCATCGAGAGTTGATTATGACCTGGATAAGTTAATTAATGTCTAATTAATAATTTAGAAAACATTTCAGGCCTAAAGAAAGACCTGCAATAGGCAGATTTAGGTCTTGCATAATGTATATTTAACAAATATATAATTCAAAATGCAATGCCTATTGGGATGTGATACATGCATGGGTTAATGTTGGGGTTTTTTTTTTGTCCCATCTGAAAGACTAAGCTCCCAGTGCGCCATAAGTAAGAACTGGGCTGGAAAAATCCTGAAGGTTCTTCTTAACTCATGCCAGAAACCGAACCATTTTGATCTCGAAGAGTCAGTGCCCTACTGCTCAACCACTGCAGTCATCACTAATTTAATACATGAACATTCTGAAAAAAATCACAATAATTAATTTATGATCCTAAAAGCTCTGTGTCTGTGTAGAATTCATAAAGATTTATAAAGATGTTGCCTTGAATATAATGATGCTGATAGTGTGTAGTTATGTTGTTGAGTCAATTATACAGTTATTCACTTATTATATATGACATTTAGATTGTATTATAGATAGCATTCAAACTGGTGAACAGATTGTAAACCATTATATGCAATAAAAAAATTACACTATTAATGTACTATATTATGTTATGTTTGACATGACCAGCATTACAGGATCTACTTTTATAGATGGAGAGCTTTGGAGAGGAGATTTATCCTTTCAAATTTACTACATATTCTTTTCCTCTCTTTGTTGATACAAATTTAATTGATGTTAGAAATGGGATGAACATTAATTTTAAAAAAAAAAAAACATGTAAGGAGGGTGTCAATAAATATAGTTTTCATCCCATTTCATATTTTAAGTGTCATGTCATCTCTGTTCGAAATTTTGCCGAAAGGTGAATAAGCATGATTAAATTTATGTTTACAAGTGTGTTCAGGGTCAATGAACCATGATGGATTTGTTGAAATTTATGAGGTACAGATTTAGTATGACTGGCCAATCCTAGAAATTACATGTATAACAAATCTTGTCAAAGTTGCTGTAAGGTGGATGTTTATTAATTGACTGCTACAACCCAATTAAAAAAAAAATTAATACAATTTTTGAGTCCCGTCTTCTATACACGTATGTGCCTATTCGATTTCTCTCAGAATATTGTTTATCACCTTCAATAGACTGGAGGCTCAGTGTGGTGTGTAGGGGGGGGGGGGCATCAAATGGGCACTAAACCAGACACAACTTTTCTAGAGTAAAATTTTGCGTAGAATACGATGCCGAGTGGTAATCAGTCCGCCGTTTTCGAGATATTCAGGGTCAAAGGTCAAATGAGGTCATTTGCACTGAAAGTGAATGCGCAGCCATTCTTGTCGCATTTTGTGCCCATTTGATGGACACCCCTTCGCACTGAGTCTCCAGACTACAAGTATAGTAAGTTGTAGAACAGTAATTAAAATCAGATCATATTTTCAATTACATTTCATTTATATTTATACACTAGAGTCTAAAAACATCTCTAAGAGATTTGTATTTAGTTCACCAGTTGATATGATTTGACTCCTCATTGACTGAAATCAGAGTTGCTGGACCAACAGATAAGCAGTAAAGAAGTAGTTAGCAGGGCTGCCGACAACCAGTATCGCAGCGCAATTTGCGATACATATTTTGTCCGTTGCTAATCAAAAATTAAAATTTAAAGTTTTTGATTCGCAGTAACTGCGAATCATTAATATGCCTGTCATTTTGGATATTGACACAAGGATAATCCACATTTGAAGACTAGAAAGCTTTCTCAACAATTTCAACGAGTATAAAATGTTGAATAAAATTTTATAAACAAAACTGAATTCTCCGTGTGACATTTTCTTCTCGAACTACCCAGACACAATTCATTATACGGTACTATATAATACAGGGACATAACTCTATGAATAGGGACTATTAAACCGGAAACAGGGAATCAAGTAGTACCACTCACGTTGCGAGACATCAAGTAATTATATGATATTTTGAAAGAAATAAATCCAGTGTATCCTCTACGTATTGTAAATAAAATATAAAAAAATAAATGTTAACGTATTGTAAAATGATAAATCAAAGTAAAAATTCCCGTAAAATATCACGTGTGTCTAGTCAATCGAGGTGCGCCCGATTGAACAAGAAAGGCAATACACGATAAAAAGCAGACGAAATTGTTTTCTAACGAAGATTTCTAACGTACAAAAAATAACAATTAAAATGATTGGGGCTTCGGAAGTCACTGTTTAGAATTGGCTTCAGACATAAGACCTAACTAAATGTCTACATCACATTCACAAACTGTCACAAGTACTTGTGGCAGTCCTAAAAAAATCTAAGATTAGTAAGAATGGAATCTAATCATATTTGTTATGAACTAAAGTAATATCTTGTTATTTAGGTGTTTTATGTTGAAACTGAAAAACTGCTAATCAATTTTTAAATTTGCTAATCAAATTTGGCAAAATTGGACTTTTTGATTAGCAGTGCTGCTAATCAACCGTGAAAAATTACCGACAGCCCTGGTAGTTAGATCTTATGTAAACAAAAACAACAAAATATCCAAGTTGGAACAAAATATTAAAGGTCTAATTTTACTATGGCTAAGTTATAGTATTTTCATTTTATAGAGGTTTTAGATTTAGTAATACAAAGAATTGCACAGTGTAGCCTATTTTTAACAAAGTACTTCAACGCTTTACATTGGTATCCCTAGTCTCTGACACTATCAGTAAGTTAACCTCAGACTTTTGTTTGTTATTTGTAAAATTATTGTTTATTACAGAACAAAGTAGTAGAAGTTGATGGTGCTAAAGTTAAATTACAGGTAATTTTATGTTTTTTGATTTATGACTAGAGCATTTCATCCATCACAAACGTAATGCAATTTTGGCATAAATGGCTACTCTACCTGTATTTTATGTACTTTAACCCTTGAGCGGATACAAGGGGTATTTCAGGACCCCACGACCATTTCCTTAATATTTGTGGGGAACTGGTACATAATTGTCTAGCGAGAATTTTATACATTGTCAGCTACTAAATGTCAGGTATAATGCTGCAAATAGAATGGAAGTGAGGCAGTGGCAACATTCACCATTTTGTCATGACAAGAAACTAAAAACATTTTGCTGGTTACAAGTGCCTAATCTATTCTGCGCTCAGTGCAAGCTTTGTATTTGGAATCTTTCTTACTGATGATATTGTGTTGATCATTTTAGTAATTTAGATCTGAAAACAAATCTAGGTACTCTACCAAACCCGTCAAACGACATTAAAGCTATTTGCAGATTTTGATGTTTTTGAAAATACCTTTTAAGTTATAATTCATATCTTCACTGTTAATACCTCAAATTGATTGATTATTTTTCTGTCTTTATATGAAGCTTTAGTTTGGTTGTATTTGAATAAAATTATGTATACAAAAACCTATTTATGTAGGAGATCTTTAACTTACAGCTTGCTGCCGCCAAGGTTTTTTGTGTGACATGTCCCGTACAAGAGATAACTATGATATTTTCCAAATCTTTTAGATTTATTTCTATATAAATTATATGCACACAGTGTCACAAAACAAACTACAATATTAAATAAATAAGAGTTGTTATATAAGCCGCATTTTAGTGAATGTGAGCCAATGAAACGGTCTGTTACGACAAGTTCTTGGTGTGCGATGCACGGAACTGTGGGTAAACAACTAGAAACATCAACGCTGGTTGACGCAACCTCCCACTACAACCGGTCAGATCTTCATGTAGTGTAGGCCATCGAAAGTATAAAAAAAAATGAAATGTATGTTTTTAAACCCCAGGAAAATCAGCATGAGTTTTAAATCAGAACTTAAATTTCTACAGCTCAGAAAGGATTGACAGATTTGTCTCAAATTTTCAACCACCAAACTACATTTATAATCTTGACTTATCTTGAGTTAACTTTGTAAAATCTTGTGAAATGTTAAAATTTTAAATGCATTGTCAAGATTAGTGAAATGAAGACGCTTGTCTTGTGAACTCTTTGATGACATTGTCAAATGAATTTAAAATTTATTTGCATTGAACATATGAATGAAACTACGAATCCTATCAAATTTTGACCATTTCCATGAATTGTCCCCTCCCCCCCCCTTTCGAAGAAAGCTGCGGACTATTAAAATGGGTCCGTCCGTTCGTCCTTCCATCACACTTCAAACTTGGTGTAGGTGTTTATTAGGTCGATGCCTTGATGGACTTCAAAGATGAGCATTTTCTGTTTAGGGTAAGCAGAGATAAGCAATTTGATAGGTTGATGCTTTGGGACACAATAACTTTAGTTCTGATTAAGTGAGAGTGATCAAACTTGGTGTATAGTTTCATTACATCAATACCTTGGCTAAGTTCGATAATGAACATTTTCTGCTCAGGGTAAGCAGAGCGATGAGCAATTTCATTGGACAAGACTTTGGGACACAATAAATCTCCTTCTTATTGAGATAGAATGTTCAAACTTGTTCTAGGTGTTTATTTGGTTGATGCCATGAAGGAGTTCGAAGATGAGCATTTTTTGCTTAGGGTAAGCAGAAATAAGCAATTTGATTTGTTGATGCTTTGGGACATGATAACTTTAGTTCTAATTAAGTGAGAGTGATGAAACTTGGTGTATAGTTTCATTACATCAGTACCTTGACTAAGTTCGATAATGAACATTTTCTGCTGAGGGTAAGCAGAGAGATAAGCAATTTGATTAGTCAAGACTTTGAAACACAAAACTCTCCTCCTAATTGAGGTGGAATGTTCAAACTTAGTGGAGGCGTTCATTCAGTGAATGCCTTGATGGAGTTCGATGATGAACATTGTCTGCTTTAGGGCACGATAACTTTGGTTATAATTAAATGAGAGCTATGAAACTCTTTGAGTATAGATTTATTATATCATTACCTTGACTAAGTTTGATGAGAATTTTCTGCTTAGGCTAAGGAGCGATAAGCAGTTTGATTGGTCAAGACTTTGGAACATAACAACTCTGCTTTTAATTGAGGTAGAATGTTGATGTTGATTAAGTGAATGTCTTGACTGAGTTCAATGATTAACATTTCCCGCTAAAGCTAAGCAGAGCCAAGCAATTTTTTTTTATTTTGATTCTATCTGATAGAGAGTGATGAAACTTAATGTATACTTAATAATCAGTTTGATTGCTGGATACTTTTGAAAAAGATAAACATGCAATTAATTAATATATGTCATCTATTTATTTCGGGATTTCAGCGGGGGACATCAGCCTCACTGTTGGCTTGTTAAATCTAGAGTTAAGGTCTTTGTTCACTTAGTTGAACCTTGTGAACTCTCTGGCGAGTGGCGATTAAAGTTATCGTTAGATCTGCTTTTGAATTTCAACGGTTTTGGTTACAGGTAATTGTTTCAAGAGTTTTGACCCTTGTTCACTTTGTCAAATTTATATGCATTGTTCACACTAGTGAAATGAAAATACTATTGAATTTCATCAATTTCTGAGAATTACTTTTATACATGTAGGTTTTTTTTTCAACAAGTCTATGATAATATACAGTATAAAGATTTTGCCTTTAATTACCATAAGATTCACAACGTAACATCCTATTTGGACTGCTCACACAACTTGTCTTCTTTGGGTTTATGTTACATTGTCTGGCAACCTATCTTTATCTTAAGTTTCATGTTATTGTTCACGATTATGTTAAAATTATATACATACATTAAAAAAAAAATAATTGCGCAAGTATGAAATGTTGTGTGTAATCTTAAATATTAAATAAAACACTTCAGATCAGAGTGAAATAGGTACTGATATTATTCTATTGGGATTACTGTATTTGATCAAACAATTGACAACTTGTCTGTATAAATACTTGACTTGAAGGTTTAAGATTAAATGTTTGAAAATGCTGTCGAGTTAAAGACATATGTATTGTCATTTATTGTCTTTTATCAATAAAATATAGCCAGGAAAACGGCATTTTTTTAAACAAAGATCATTTATTGCAGAAATTAGGATAACATGATTTGTTCCTTGACAATAAACCTTCACTATCAAAATTTGTACAGCATTTTCCACAATAGAAATTTTCAGTGTATTTATTAAAATATTATTTTGTCTGAAAATACATTTGAATTACTCTGTAGAATAGGCTAATATATCATAGAACTAAGCTAGGGAGGGGGCTTTATCTGTATCAGTTCTGGTATTTTTCAGATCTGGGATACGGCGGGACAAGAACGATTCCGCAGCATAACACGAGCATATTATCGTGATGCAAATGGTATGTTAGGTCTGCATGTTAGGCAGGCAATTTGAATGAAAAAATGTACATACCCGTACTATGTGAAGGCTATGTTAATTTTGGATTTCAGATTTCCTGTTTTAAATGCTATTATACACAGCCATATGAAAAATAGAGATAGTTTTGTATCAAAGCTTTAGAAGAGTTCCTAAAAGTAGAAGGTTTTGGTTACGTTAATATTTATGTTTCCACGCTTTGCGTCATCTCTATATTTCAACTGGCAGTTGTTTTGTTCATAGTTAGGGTGTAGTGTATGGTTGTAGTCAAATCTTGTCTTCAAATTAAAATATGCTTTAAAAAAACTGGAAAAATATTTTAATTTGAAGAAAGTGATTCTTATTTTAGTTAAAATATTAGATCCTTAGAAAGAAATGACCACTTTCTTATTTCAGATTTGGGATACAGCAGGCCAAGAGAGGTTTCGCAGCATTACCCATGCTTACTACAGAGATGCCCATGGTACTATTAAACTCGGTGTATTTTAATTTCTACATTATTTTTACCCCCTCATTGTAATAGCCTGCTTTTTATAATTGTAGTGTTTTACTTATTATTAATTCTCTGGTGGCCTCTCAGATTTACAGATAATTTGGGATTAAATTAACCATACCATCATAACTTTCTCTACATTGAATAACAAAAGGTGATGAGATCAAGTCCATTTTAATTTGTACTTTGTAATGTTGAGAAAAAAAGACTGGATAATATTAATAATAATAATAATAATTACTTTATTTCAAAATGGTTGAAAAATTAGGCCAATGACCTTTCTTACATTAAGAAGTTATATTATGTACACATGTTCAAAACAAATTTATTAATAAATCAAAATGGACTTGTCATCTTCTAATTTATTTCTAGTGACAATTTTGCTCTCACTTAACACATGGTGCATTATATTGGTCAAATTATTTCGCAATAATAACATCTAAATAATCTTATAAATTATTGAGCTTTAATCTATTAGTTACACATACCTGTATTTGTTAGTCTTTTTTTCAGTTCTTGATTCAGATTGAAAAATCAAATGAAATATGTACCACTAATGGAATTTCATCAGTAGATAATTGGTTACAAAAAATTAACTATTTTATCCCACATGCTTGAGTTTCTGGTTACTACTGATGTCTTGCAAGCTGTGACTAAAATATAACAGAAAGAATAATGGACGTGAAAATATGTTGACCATTGCGATTGTACCATTTATATTAATTTGACCATATCCTTCTAATATTCAACAATCCTAGTTGTCACAATTCCATATTAGCAGCTTTTGTCCTTGCATTTTAGAAGAATGTTTTATTTATCCTGTGATGTGAAGCAAACTGTATAAATTAATGGCTATTTTTTGTGCAGTGGTATGATTTATAAATGTGTTGATGAAACCCTTTGCAGCTTATAGTTAGTTGTGGCTGCCTTTGATTTTGTAGGCAACTAGGATAGTTTTGATTAAATTTGGTGTGCCTTTTAATGTTATTTCAATTCACAGGTATTCAACATTTATAAACCGAGAGACCTGTCCCAAAATGTGAATTTGCAGATTTCGATTTTTTGATTTATTTTTTTTGCAGCAAAAAAAATATTAAATAACAGTGCTTTATGTGTTTTCCAAGGAAATATAAATTCATGGATGTGATATGTACATGTATATAGTATTAAATTAGTTACTTAACCCCTTTTTAAATTGACCTTTACTGAACACTTTTCTCTATATTTATGGCTTATGTGTACATGTATTTTGATCACCTTTTATGCATGAACACTTTATTTCTAATACAAAATTATTTTTTTTATTTAAATAAAGAATTTACTACAATAACATTATATTTTGTTGGAATGTTTTTTGAAGAAAACAGAAACTTTTAATTTTACATCTGCAAATTTAATTTTCTTGTACAAAATCAAAACTTTTTTGTCTTTTTAATTATAAAACACACACCCTGGACACCTTATGTGAATCAGCATTTACATATTTTGGGTATTGCAGTATTTGTTTATTTTAAAATATTTCTAATAGTAATCCATAGATCTTAACCTGTAAACATTTTGGAATTTGGGGAAATTTTGTTCAATTTCTTTATTTCTTTTATTTAAAGTAGCTAAGTCCGTAACTCAATATCATCCAAAATCTTCAAATCTTCGACATTGAAAACACGATTTTTTTTGCAATTTAAATCAGCATTGGTGTTGTGATCTTACCTGGAAAAGATGGGCTTCTGATATCCAATATTTAAGACAAAATAAACATTTTACCATTGGTACACGAATCGTGTACCATAATGCGTTTCAGCGCCATTTGTAACAAGGTGCTCAAAGAATGAGGCGAGACATATTCCACAAGTCATGTCAAACGGTGATATCATATTTCTATTTGGAGAGCATGCGCAATAAATAATATCGGTGTTGACTGGAATAACCAGACGCTATAGAAACTGACTTGCGATTGAGACTTCTGGCGTATTTCGCTGAACATAACTGATGACAATGCACAGTAAAACGGAGACGATTGAATCTAAAACAGTTTATTTAAATTCATATTGCATTATTATATGTGCTGCGACCCATTTGTGCCAATTTCTAGGTCCAAAATATTAGCGATTTAGCTCCTTTAAATTATGATTTGAATTTATTTTAAATTTTCTTTACATAACATCAAATGTATTTAACTTATAAAAGTGTTTACAAGTTATTTATGAATATAAGGCTAATCATTTTTTCATATATTTGTAGCCTTGCTATTATTATATGATGTTACTAATAAAAACAGCTTTGATAATATCAGAGTAAGTAGGTCTTTTATACATTTTCAAATAGTTCTTATATATATTTGTATTCCTACATATGAAATTTTGTGACATCGTTGATGTCAATACTTTGTAGGACACTGTAGGTGGACTGTCTGACTCTGAAAGGTTTCTGTTTAAGCCCCTACATGAGAGAATAGAAATTAAGTATAAGATTTAAAATGATACACAATCAAAAGTACTTTTGCCTTTATTAATTTCTACCGATATCTTTACGTGTCTTAGACAAATATAATTCTAATATCTTTTTTATACAAGATGCCCAAACTTCATGATGGATGTGCTTAGTAATATGATAACAACAGTCTTTTCATTAAAGATACATTATGGGAGATTAGATAAAGAGCTGGCAGTTCCCACTATAATAGTTAAAATCTAGATAATGTAAAGGGAATTTGCTGAAAATTTCAGTGAAATTCAGTTGATTATGGTCTGGATAAGTTAATTAATGTCTAATTAATAATTTAGAAAACATTTCATGCATGCCTAAAGAAAGACCTGTAATAGACAGATTTAACTCTTGCATGTATGTTTAAATTAGTACATATTTTTGACTATTGAGATATGTGGGAACAATTTGACTTGCCCACCATAAAATACAGAAATTTCTATTTTGTTCTTTGGTTGTCAAAGTTTTAGTTTATGTAGCTTTGGTTTGCTACAACACCTAAAATCAAATGTCAAAGATCACTGGGTGTTAATATCATTTTGAAATACATGGTAAATTTTCCTCTCATTATTACTATAATGTAACATAATTTTTCAATTTACTATAATTAATACTAATTATCATATTATCTTCAGGCTTGGTTAGCTGAAATAAATGAATATGCTCAAGAAGATGTTGTGATAATGTTATTAGGTAATAAATGTGATGTAGCAGGTGAAAGACAATTACGTCGAGAAGATGGTGAAAGGTTAGCAAAGGTCAGTTTCTTCCTCACTTAGTATAGATACTAAACATGCCACATGTATCCAATATTCTAACTATGTGGTTAAAGGGTTAAGAAAAGATAACTATAAAAAAACATGTTGGGTCAGTAATATCCTGAAGTTGCCCACATCAATTAATATACATATCCATAGAGCTATGGTTATGATTGATGTGGTAAATATATGTTGCAATACCTTTACATTGTATGTAAAATTGTCTAAAGAATTTATGTTGTTTCGTAATGATGATATACTTCAGCCATTTATTGTCAGATCTTTGATTTGTGTATATTACAGGAATATGGTGTAGCATTTATGGAAACCAGTGCCAAGACTGGAATGAATGTAGAGTTAGCTTTTATGGCTGTTGCTAGGTAACTGCATGATCTGACACCTATACATCAATAAAGCTTGAAATATCAAAGGGTTCTCTATAAACCATATATTTTTGACAATATTATATATTATTAATATGAAATATGAAAGTATACTGTCTAATCAAAATTCTTGTGAACATTCAAATTGTCATAGTTTTTGAGATTATTTTTTTTAAAAAACTTGCTGGAAATGGTTAGTTGATATAAAAATTACTGCCCCTGTCGCTGAAATTTTGTAAATACTGAGAGGTCAGAGTTTCTTTATAGAAGGAATTATATCAAAATTTTGAGTTATGCCCCTGTCATGGAAACCCTACAGCTTTTGAGGGGTTTTATTCGCCCACATGGAAATGTGATCTTATCTTGCCGTCGCCCCCGTCAGTCCATTCAGCCAGCATTTCTTGTCAGCACTCTACAGACACTACATTTATCATCTGATTGTTGTGAAATTTCTATATGTTCTATAGAATCCTATTTAATTTCAATAATTTTTGTTAATTTCTTCTGGAGTTATGGCCCTTGTTTCACTCTGTTGCACCTTTTACGCAACAAAAGTTATCATCCAATATGTATGAAATTTATACATCTTTTAAATTAATGAAACAAAGAAGCCTATTGAATTTCAGCATTTTCCAATAATTATGTCTAGAGTTATATATTATTTTGTTAGTCCTAAGGATGAATTCTATCAAACTTTAGAGTTATTGCCCCTGCCATAGAACCCCTACAAATTACTTAGATTTTATGAGATCGTTAAGCTTGCCCAGAAGGAACTCTATTAAAATTTCATGCTGTGCAGTGGTTTTTTGCAGAGTCGTTTCCCCTGGGCATATAATTGTTGTCTGTCAATGCTATATGATAGTTGAGCTTCTTCTGTTATTTGTTTTGTCAGTCATATAATCAATACAATTGATTAATGAGGACAGTTTTAATGTACATGTACCAATACTTCGAAAATTAATCAAACTGACAAAGAAGTAGGAAGTAAGATCAATAAACAACCTTAAGTAGTTGTTTAAAAGATATTGTGTTTTTTGTTTCCGCCATACAAACAAATCATTCTGGTTCTCATACAATCCTTAAAAATCTGATGTGGGGAGGAGGATTTTATTTTTGTGTTTTTATTTGTCAAAGGATCACTACTAGGCTCAATCTGATTAAAACACAAATCCTATTTCGTTTCATTTTTTTTTTATAGTTTAAAATTTTGTTTTACTTGTCTTTACTACACTAGTATCTGGAAGAGTTGTTATCATTGACATGTTCTTGATGATGTAAGGGATTAGCCAATGAAATGGTCTGTTAAGGCGAGCTTTTGGCATGTGGTGCACGGAACTGTGGGTAATCCACCAGAAACATCAATGCTGATTGGTTAATCAAATGTCTGACATCATAGGGTCAAAAGCAGAGCGTATGACCTCTTACGCGACTTCCCAAAACAACTGGTCAGATCATCATGTAGTGAAAGTATAAAAAAAACAAAACAAAATATAGATCTGTATCTTAATCAGACTGTTATAGGCTAAATGACTTCTCATAAACACCACATTTGAAGGCACTACAATTATCTCAATATGTTTATTGGAATGTAAGATTATCCCATTTATGATTGTCAGTAACATTTTACAGGGCCGCATACTTAATAAATGAGCCAATGCCTTATTTCTGGACTCATTCTGAAAAAGCTTATATTGTTGCTTCCTGTAACCAGGTTAAAGCATTAATATGCAATAATTAATTTGACTGTTTTTATTTTTTTTAAATAAATAAAAATAATGAAGCTCTTTTAAGTGAGGCAGGATTATCTGGGAACCAGAATATTTTTTTTATATGGCCTTATTTGAGTATAATACAGTAAATTCTATCAGCTTGATCTATTGATTGGTTTTATGCCTGCTTTGTTAATGCCAACTCTAAACAATGAGTTAACCTATATAATTTATAAATGCATATTACGTTGCAACCTCCCAATAACAGAAGAATAGAATATTAGTTTGACATTTGGTTGTCACAGAAGAAAGTAAAAGGGTTTGGTGGTTTGCAGCTGTTATATAAAGTGCATACATTTATAATTGAAGAACCTGGCTAAATATTTATATTTTTCTATATAATTTTAGGGATTTAAAGATGAAAAAGACAAGAAAGCCAAATGAACCCCAGTTTAATGTAGCTGATTATGTTGATCAGGAAAAAAGTACAAGTCAGTGTTGTAGCAGCTAACATTATATTAAATCTCAGGACCATATTCATGCTACCATTACATAGTTCTATAATATACAAGATGTGATGAAGTATTCTGATTAACTATATGGAATAATGATCTTCTCTTATATCTGCCACTAGAAAACATATTTGAAAAAACAAAAACATTATATTTGCCATGTGTTTTATCCTGCCGTTGGCTTTATCTCGACTTTATCTCGCTTGGCAGATTAATATTTGATTATCCCCTTGACACACTATTTTCATTTATTCTGAATCAACATTCAAATTTGTATGAGATTTGCAAGAAAGGGATGTTTATGTTCATCATAAATTTAATTTTATTTAGTAAATAAACCATAGAATTTTTTTTTACATTATCAATAAAACAAATTGTGTTTCTAATGTACCATAAAATAATTTGAAGATAATTGTTAATGTTACTGCCACTTGAAGAAATTGATATTTCTTTGTTTATTTTATATTATTCCCAAACGCCAATAACTTGGTGCAATATTTATCTATTTATTTATAATGTCTCAAATATAAGTCTTTGGTGCATTTTTATGTTCAATCATTATTCAGTATACTTTCATCGTCATTGCTTAAAAAAAGTATGTGAATAAAAAGCATTCTTCATTATATTTTTCTGTACCATAAATCTTTAATTGTATTGAAATTATTTTTGAATTTCAATTTTTATTGAAAAATAGGTTATAACATAATTTGCAATGTTATTTTTGTACATAATTATGATAAAATGTAACAAAATGACTATGTCTAATAAAGATTATTTATGTCAACATATATTATATGGCATTATCAGAATAGTCATGTATTAGATTTTGAAAAATAGAATGATATATATATATATATATAATAGAATGAAATGTATAACTGGATAGCCACAGTATATATATATTGTTGTGACTGCAGTATCTAAAGCATTAACAAACACCATGCCCAAAATTATTATTGACAGATAGGTGCCATGGGGAGACATATTAATCTTTATTTTATCTGAGATTAAATAACTTGTTTTCTTAATTTTTGACAACATGAATAATTATATATTATATTCATTCCTAATATAAATTAGCTGTTTATTTATTAGAGGGTTTGAATTTATTGTTATAGATTAGAGATATATATGACTTATGTCTCTGTATAGATGTATTATCTATGTTATTGTACATATTTCTAGATGTATATAATATTAATATATTAAATCTAGGGTATAAATTTAGCTTCCTATTAGCTGTATATTATTAATATTTACTTGGCATTAGTAATGTTCATGTAAATATTAGTATCTGCAGACATAAATCTGTATTTAAAAATTAGAAAATAGTATCAATTGTCAAAATATACAACAGAGGTATTAGGTTTAAAATGTTTATACATGTTTTCATTTCAAAACAATATCTGTATCATTTGACTTGCTTAATGACTTTCATTAAAACAAAAATCAAGGATTTATTTCAAAATAAAAACGGCACTAAAACAAAGAAAATTACACCATGAGCAAGAGAGGTACTGTGTTTCAGAGAATTTGGGGTATCAAGGTACACAATTTTAAATGGTGAATTAACATTTAATAAATGTAATAATATCGCGCTTTGCAGTAAACTGTAGGTTACCAATCATTTTTATTAGGTTAACAGTTAAAAGTTTGTATCTCAAGTTAATTTTGAATAGATCATACTGATTTATAAAAGTTATGTATTACTGTTTTGTTTGGTTGTTATTGCTATTCTATAATACATCATTCTTTATGTTTAAAAATATTATACCTTATGATAAGTTGAATATTATGTAGGCCTACTCTATTTTCACAAGTCTCTTTCATACAATTCAGCTAAATATACATTTTCTTTTGTTGTTATAGAAATTAATATATCAAAAAATAAAAAAAGCAATATGTTCAAAAATGCAGTTGTTTATTTGTACAGGGTGCTCAAATGGCACTGAAAACAAAAAACAGTTCTTTTCATTCTGATATTCCCATGGACACCCACAAATAGCCATAAACCAGACAGTTTGGACAACCTTGACATTTTATGGGGATGAGAAATTGAATTGTCAATGAAAATTTAATGCTTTCACATTAAAGGAATATATGGCTATCTATTGGTTTTTTTATTCAACAGTTTATGAGCACAATTTATTAAGAGTTTAGCTTTTAACTTCCTCCAAAAAGCAGAGATAGATTACCATTCATCCTATAATTTTTTTCAATCTAGCCCTTTCTATGAAAATTCTGGCCTACACTAATCAGGGCCAATCCTGCTTAAGTAATCAAAACCATATTAGCAAATTATTGGGAGGGTGTGGTCAAAGCATAGGCTACTGATGGTGGCATGAATTCGATAGAAAGTAATCTAAACCGGTATGGAAATCGGTTGATTTGAATAATGTTTGGATATTAACAATATGCTTTATGTCCAAACACACATTAATTTTAGAAACCGAGAGTATCGTAAGGCAAATGCTGGTTACCTGTTAAACATCGAATTGATTTTAAGATTTTATTACAATCCAATCGCCCAAATGCAATTATTCTTAACTTAAGAGGCCTATACACGTAATTTTGATATGAAATTTTGATCGTATATGGGGCGTTGACTCAAAATTTTGACGGATCAAACCACCTTTCATATTTATTGACGGGTCGTCAATATTTTGAAGCATGTGTGGTCTGTCAAAATTTTGAACAAAATTTCATCTTGCACCGACCGCCGAGGTGTTAGAGTCACATGTCTAGGAAGAGCGCGGCAGAAAAGAAGTTTCTGTTTGAAGTGCTAATTAAATATGTACAAGACCTTGCCTGTCCTTGGAAAATTAAATCGCCTGACTACAGTAATCGGGAAAAGAAAGCCGCTGCGTAGGACATGTTACTTATGAAGTTACGAAAGTTCTCTGTTCGTTGGTCCGTAACACTCGCTTCAAAAACCAGTCTTTCGACCATTTCCTTCGCGGCCTTTCACCGGAGTCCAAAGCGATCATTAGTGCGACGGCGACCATGTCAAAGATTATGACGAGATTGATTTTTGGTGGAAAATCATTGAATCGTATGGGCAATTGCACATCAAAATTATGTATTAAATTTCTTCATCAAAATTTGGTTTGTTTTTTTAATGTGTATTGACCCCTTAAGTCTTTAATTACTGCACACTGATCAACAGTGAATATTCGCTAGACTGCTACAATCACTGATAGGGATGACATCGGTGCGGCTTAATTCTGCAAATTAAATTCTAGAACATTTTTTTTAAGCATTAGAGAAATAAATAAAGGTGTTGAAGTATATATGTAGGTATATGTCCTATTTAGTATAAATGGGTATGTGGAAATGAGTAAAAGGCACCATTCTGTCCGGACCAGTAACGTCTTAAACAATGCACGCGCCATTGATCGGCCAATTAATGATTGACGCCGCGTGATATGACGTCATGTGTTGAAAGCAGTCATCTTTTACATAGTTATTAAAAGACTTTCGTAAAACAGATTGTAATTACTGTGAGAAAATTATCAGATTATGACTCTTCCTTAATTCCAGATTTTTAACAAAAGTATCGCGATCACATTTTAACTTGAGACAAAAAAATCGAGTTCAGGGTCCGGTTGTTCAAACTTTTAACGACTCGTTAACATGGACTTAATGGACCGTTATCTTTAACGGAGAGAAATTCTGTTGCTGGAAACCCCGTTAACTTTAAGTGGGTAAGACCAAGGGGTATTTATACTCCTAGGGTAAGACGCTGGCTCGCTAGCCTGGAGGTCGGGTGTTCGATCCCTGCATTTGCCGAGAAAGTACATCCAGACTTTCAGGCGTGGTTCTCCCTTGTCAGTGATACAAACGGAGGGCCTGACAAGGACCGCTGTCTATTCGTTCGGATGGGACGAAAAACCAAGGTCCCCTGTACACATTGGCGTGCACGTAAAAAAAAACCTTGACAGTTGGAATTCGATATAAGAGTAGGTCGTAGTGCCGCTGTCCGGGCAAAATTTCCCTCATTGCACACTGTATGGCGTATGCCCGTCTTGGCGTCTTCATTTGCCCAGTTCGGAGCAGAACAGTAGGACGTTAAACCCCATTTCGTTTCATTTCATTTTTAACGTGTAGTTAGATTGCCGCAGGCCCGTAGCCAGTCTGCGGAGAGGCAGTGATCTTTTTAGGGGGCGGGGTCTTTCCTCTTGGGGTTTAAGGGGCCGGGCGAGAAGTCATATATATACTTAGTTCTCTAAGCAGAAAAAATCTATCGCAGAGAGGGGGCCAGTGGAAAGGGGGTCCCACTGCCAGTTCGGGCCCGATGATATCGGTTCGCGATTCTTGTCAAGCGAGTTGGTTGAGTGAGAAACGGGGGCCCGACGGAAATATTGGACAATTAACAAGACCACTACCTGTCAACCAGAAATAATATTTCGGGTTTCGGGTTATGGAAACATTTCTGAAATAAACTATACTAGAATAATTTCAAACCTCATCGAAAGAAGGCCACTGTTTCACGATTTTGGGAAAATGGGTCTTCATTATTTTTTTTCTAACAAATTTTCAAAAAAATATATATATATTTTTTTGTCACCAAATCGCTGGGCCCCTTCGGAGACCGGGCCAAGGCATTTGCCTCTGTTGCCCTCGCCATGATCCGTCACTGCTCTTCCCCGGAAACATTTCTGACATCAACTATACTAGAATAATTTCAAACCTCATCGAAAGAAGGCCACTGTTTCACGATTTTTGGGAAATGGGTCTTCATTATTTTTTTTTAACAAATTTTAAAAAAAATATATATATTTTTTTTTGTCACCAAATCGCCGGGCCCCTTCGGAGCCCGGGCCTAGGCATTTGCCTCTGTTGCCCTCGCCATGATCTGTCACTGCTCTTCCCCGGAAAAATTTAGAAAATTGGACGGCCGCAAACGCGTTTTCCAGCCCCGTAAATCATTCTCTAGCAAACTCTAGACAATGAACATAGAGGCAAGACAGGAATATAGAGCAGATAGATGTCAGCTAGAATATAACCAATAGGCTAATATGAGATAGACTGGGTACAAGGTGCCACGTCCCCAAATCAATACTCCACATGATGATCCCTGAGCACTGTCTATTACAAAAAGTAGTCCCTAGGTAGTTTTAGAACTATGGTCGGCAATTTTTTTTCGGGGGGCGCTGCACCCCCACCCCTTGTCCCCGGCTGGCTACTGGGCTTGATTGCCGTTATCTTTAACGGAGGTGTTGGGCACCGTTAGCCTATCTGTTTAATGATCGTTAGTCGACTGTCACACAAGTCACAAGTATACCCAGTGCTGGATTAACCATAAAAGGCAAATAAGGCACGTGCTCTAGGGCCAGCCAAAAATCCAGGCCACAAAATAATAAAGTAAAACTTTTTTGATAATTATCAGGTGGTGACAAAAATTTTTGCCTTTATTTTTATGTAAATAAATTGCATCCTTCTTCATCTACGCGTTTGTCCGTTGACATGATGTTTCGTCCCTTTACACACCTGAGATTTGTTTACATTTGTTGTGGGAAAGAATCTCGTAAGTAATTTCATATTTTGTAATAAATTTTCTGTTGCTAAATTTAACTTTTGTCAATGAGCCCAACATATCTGTACAGTGCTAGGACTATCTAGGAAAAAGTGCTAAATTTTGGATGTTTGGGTTTGGTCCGGTTCACTGATTTTAATTGCTTGGTATGCTGATCTAAACAACATGTCCGTCTTGAGTAGCATTGCCCTAATATAAACTACATAAGCGTTGACAACTATGAACCGGCCAGTGGGAGTATCAAATAACTTAACATTTTAATTTCTAAAATAAAAATCTCATTTTATATAGTCTTTGATATCAGTTGTTTAGTCTTCCAAAAACCAAGTTTTATCATGCTGAGCTATTTTTGTACGCCCATATTTTCAAGTGGACGTGTATTGAGTTGCCCCTGTCAGCCCACAATTTATTTGTGGACATGCGGTTCCTTTCGATATTGGCATTTTATCCAATGATGGTTCATGAAAATCGGATCGAAACTGCCTGCTCCTCGTTCGCAAATAGTGTAAAAGTATATAATACCAAGGTTGTGGACACTGTAGAAGTCACAATTTTTTTATCCGATTTTGATTAAACTTAAAATATATGTCTATATTCCACGGATTTTTGTTTCTTTCCATATTCGCACATATCTGTCCGTAACCTCCTAGATTATGGACCCTGGGTGTACCAAAAATTACAGTTTATACCCGATTTTAAAAACCGTTTAAATATACACCGTTACACCCTGGGTTTGAATTTCGTGATAATCGGATCGAAGGCTGTGGTCCCTCTAACGATTTGTATCCGGTTTTGAAAAAAACTTAATATTATATGTTTATGTATCAAAGATCTATGTTTGATGTTCGCGTATATCGGGCCTAACTTCTTGCCTTGTGGCTCCTATTGTACGAGAAATTGTAAGAATAATACTACGAGTTCTTGATGTGGAAATTTACACGGAAATATTTATTTATGGCTAGGGATATGATATCATATCTTTCTTATCTAAATTAGATCCTGCTTATATATCAACAATAAGCAGGATGTAATTTAGATAAGAAAGATATGATATCATATCCCTAGCCATAAATAAATATTTCCGTGTAAATTTCCACATCAAGAACTCTGTGGTGACAGAGAATATAAGTAATATTGTTATAATACGTTATTAAAGGTGTACTGTTTTGTTGACATTGACAATAAATTTGCGTTAACAAAATAGTTTATAAAGTCTAGTATTGATGGCGATATTAGCGACCTTTGATTTTGGCTTGCTGTCGTACTGTTGTCTTTTCGCCTCGGAAGGTGATGTAGTCTCTACTTTCAAGGTCACTTTTCGACTTTCGTGTTTTGAAGGGGCGAAAAGTAGAAATTATGAATGGTAGTTATAGGCTTCCATAAAATTGTAAGACAAAATAAACATTTTACCATTGGTTCACGAATGCCTTTAAGTGCCATTTATAACAAGGGACTCGAAGGACGACGCTAGATATATTCCACAAGTAACTCAAACGGTTACGTCATATTCCTATCTGGAGAGCATGCGCAATAAATACTAAATCAGTTTATGTACATTCATATTACATTATTATTTGTGTTGCGAACCATTTGTGTCAATTTCTAGGTCCTAAATATTAGCGATTTAGCTCCTTTAAATAACAAATACATGTAGATTGTTTTGGGGTGATCTTTTCCCTGTATGTGAATAATCAGTAAACGTTCATATTTTTGCACCAAAATAGATAATTTTGGATCAAATTTTCTTTTACTGATAATTGATAAGTTTGTAAATAGTATTGTACGATGGATCAATAGGCCATTAATATTTCGATATTGACCCCTTTCTATAGAAATCAATATATAATTGGCAAGAGTTATACAATCGTAATGTGCTCAACAACCCTTGTTTTACTTATGAATATTTATCTCCACAAGAAAAAGTTCCAAAATCATTTAATTGGTTAACATCAAATTGGTCAATATCAATTCAAAGTATATGAGTAAAATAATGTAAGATATTTTATACCCTGGCTTAGACAAGCTGCTGTAGATATTACATCAAATTAATAAGCTTATTATTACATTATGTAATATTTGAATCATTTTTTTTTTTATTTTATTAAATTGTTATTAAATTTCTTTATTTCTGTGTTTAATTTGATTAGTTTTTCTTATTCTCTTATTCAAATTTCATAGAATCTGATTCCAAACCCATCTAGCTTTAGCTTTACATTCTAAATATAGAGCAGTGTAATATGACACTTATACAATACACCATCTGAATAGATAATAATTGGGCTACAATTTATTGTCTTTGAGAGGATGATGACAGGATTCTCTTCAACAAACCTTTGAGGTCACATTCCCAAACTTGAAGAAATCTGGCTGATTTCTAGTTGGTCATAAGACTGTGTATTTTCAGGCCATCTATCAAAATGTGCCCTAGGGCCAGCAGAGCCTTAATCCGGCACTGAGTATAGGGCCTATCCCTTAACAATAACAATATGTCATAGATTACCAGTGTAATTTTCTATAGAACATTCTAGAGGGTTGGACGATGGGTGCCTATTCCATTTTCTATAGGATGAAATTCTATAGTATTATTAGTAAATAGTAGGCCTATTCTACAGAATTTTGGAGGTCTGTTATATAATAATGATCCCGTTACTGTTAGAGTTTAACGGATAAATAACTTAGTTTTGAGCAACCGGCCCCTGATATGTAGTTTGTGGTTTGGCAAATGACTCAGACTTTTAATGTGTTTAGATCTATATATTATTACCAAATTAAAAATTCTCTTTCTCTCTTTCCTGTCTGTTTGAATGGCATTTTTATACGCCCACATTTTCGAAGTAATTTGAAAATAAAAGTTACGTCCCTTAGACCAAAAGAAAACCATCTTAAATGGAGTTTTCTCCCCACACTTCCGTTTTTATTTATTTTTGTTTAATCATTCTGTCAAACAATAATAGTCATGTTGATGTTGGTTCTAGAAAATAATTTACAATAGAAATTTACTTAGAATGGCGACTCAGGTATGCAGTAATGCTGTGAAGCTGTTCGTTTATGACATTAGTAAAGGCTTGGCTAAAGCAATGTCTATGCCACTGTTGGGTGGGTTTGTATTCTAAGGTTTTTTTTGTTTTTTTTTAGTAAATTATATTTTCTACAGTCGCCAGTCTCTGTCATATTGTTAACTTGTTTGGGTGATGATATCCACTATTGGCACTAATCCCATTTGGAATTTAGTTTGTTGTGTGCTAAACAAATTCCCATGCCAACTCTATATATCTAACTATAAAAGTATTTCTCTTTCTCATCTGACAAGTACTAGTAGGCTACATTAATGATAGTCAATGCATTTTGTTTATTGACTTATAGATACCCAAAATGTCATGTCATCTTACATTTTTTCTGGATACAATGGTAATCCCAGGCAATTTTCTTCAAAATATGCTAATATAATGAAATGTCATCTTACATTTTTTCTGGATCGCGATACGCGAATGGTAATCAATCCCAGGCAATTCTCTTCAAGAGCTGCTTTGGGTAGTCATTTTAATCGCTTATAATAGTGACCAGTTGGTTACTTTAAATAGGCGTTTTTACGAGAAAACAAATCGGTTTCGATTACCTATCTGGTTTTGTACATGACGTAGGTTTCAAGTTGGTATTTGAATCGGTTCTCATATACACAACGAGTTTGCTCGCAAGTTGACTGAAGAAATGAGGAAAAATGACAAGAAACACATTAAACAGAATACTAGAAAAATACCTGGTTTTCTATTTTGTTCAAACTTGTTATTGTACGACAATTCAGGTCTCAGGACAAAAATGTTCCAGTAACGTGAGAGAAAACTTGGCATAAACTACTAGGTCTTTTTGGGAGTAATGAACGCTTCTTTGAATTTAAAATGTCTACATACTGAAACAATTAATTACCAGTAGATCTATACTAAGCTAAATGACTGTGCCGGTCATCAACATTTGCATTTTTAGGACAATAGGCCTTATCTAATTGTTCATGGCTTAATGTACGATAAAATGTTCTCAGATTGATTGTGTAACATTTAATTAAGAAAACAAAACCAAAATAGGCCATCAGTGGTATATGTAGATATTTTCTTAGCTTGAATTAGATTTAAAATAGGAACTTCAAAAAGATTTATCAATACTTAAAGGAGCTAAATCGCTAACATTTGGGACCTAGAAATTGACACAAAGTGGGTCGCAACTCATAAAATACTATAATATGAGTGTATATAAACTGATATACATTCAATGGTTTCCGATTTTACTCTAATTTCAAATCAGTTATGTTCCGCGAAATAAGCCCGCAGTCTCAATTGAATGCAAATTTCTAGCGCCTGGTTATTCCAGTCTACATACGCCGTTTGGTTTGGTGCAATATGTCTAGCCTCGTTCCTCGAGTCTCTTGCTAGAACTGGGGCTGAAACGCATTATGGTACACGATTCGTGTACCAATGGCAAAATGTTTATTTTGTCTTAAATATTGGATATCAGAAGCCCATCTTTTTCCGGTAAGATCACAGCATCAATGTTGATTTAAATTGACAAATAATTTGTGTTTTCAATGTTGAATATTTTGGATGATATTGAGTTAGAGACTTAGCTACTTTAAGGACTACACTGGCTTGTTTATATCGTTCGCATTGGATACTGAACGCTGATGTCTTTGTAAATACTGAACAGAGCTGAACCTTCTTTGGACCGATATTCCTTTCAACGATTTAATTTTCACAAATGGTGATTAGGGGACTATTGAAATGGGTTCGTTCCTCCATCTTTCCGTCGCACTTTTTGGGACACAATAAATTTCCTTGGTGTAGGTGTTTATTAGGTCAATGTCTTGATGGAGTTCGAAGATGAGCATTTTCTGTTTAGGGTAAACAGAGATAAGCAATTTGATTGGTTGATGCTTTGGGACACGATAACTTTAGTTCTAATTAAGTGAGAGTGATCAAACTTGGTGCATAGTTTCATTACATCAATACCTTGACTAAGTTAGATAATGAGCATATTCTGCTGAGGGTAAGCAGAGCGATAAGCAATTTGATTGGGCGAGACTTTGGAACACAATAATTCTCCTTCTAATTGAGCCATTATGTTCACACTTGGTGTAGGTGTTTTTTAGGTGAATGCCTTGATGGAGTTAGAAGATGCAAATCTTCTGCTATGGGTAAGCAGAGATAAGCAATTTGATTGGTTGATCTTTTGGGACACGATAACTTTAGTTCTAATTAAGTGAGTGTGGTGAAACTTGGTGTATAGTTTCATAACATCACAATGAACATTTTCTGCTGAGGGTAAGCAGAGTGATAAGCAATTTGATTGGTTGAGACTTTGGAACACAATAACTCTCCTTCAAATTGAGGTAGAATGTTTAAACTTGGTGTAGGCGTTCATTAGGTGAATGGTGATTCGATGATTGAGTTCGATGATGGACATTGTCTGCTTACGGTAAGCAGAGATAAGCAATTTGATTGGTTGAAGATTTTGGGCACGATAACTTTGGTTATAATAATTAAGTGAGAGCGATGAAACTCCGAGTATAGATTCATTATATCATTACCTTGACTAAGTTCGATGATGAGAATTTTGTGCTTAGGCTAAGGAGTGATAAGCAATTTGATTGGTCAAGACTTTGGAACATAACAACTCTGCTTTTAATTGAGATAGAATGTTTAAACTTGATGTAGATGTTCATTAGGTGAATGTCTGACTGAGTTCGATGATTAACATTCCCTGTTAAAGCTAAGCTGAGCTAAGCAATTTCTTTGACTTTGATTCTATCTGATAGAGAGTGATGAAACTTAGTGTATAGTTGATAATCAGTTTGATTGCACGATACTTTTGAAAAAGATCAATGTGCAATTAATTAATATGTGTCGGCGGGGGACAACAGTCTCACTGTTGGCTTGTTTTACACTATATTGTTAATTAGATAAATGAATAATCTGCTTTTTTTAGGTAAACAGATAGATGGTGTTTGGCATACTGGTATTGTTGTTTATGGTGAAGAGTATTATTTTGGTGGAACAGGTGGAATAGAATGTTGTCCTCCAGTAAGTAATTGATAGGGTCCACAGGATCTGTCCATCACACTTTTTGGGACACAATAACTCTCAAGATTTCTAATTAAGCTAGAATGTTCAAATTTGGTGTAGGCGTTCATTAGGTCAAATATGCCTTGATGAAGTTCGAAGATGAACATATTCTGCTTAGGGTAAGCTGAGATAAGCAGTTTGATTGTTTGATGCTTTGGGACACGATAGTTTTGGTTCTAATTAGGTGAAAGTGATGAAACTTGGTGTATAGTTTTGTCACATCAATACCTTGACTAATTTCGTCTCAGGGTAAAAGATTGATAAGCAATTTGATTGGTCAAGACTTTAAAGCTTTACAACTTTGATTCTAATTGAGTGATACTGATGAAACTTTGTGTATAGTTTCATTACATCAGTACCTTACTTAACAAAGTTTGATGCTGAGCATTTCCTGCTTAGGCGAAGTAAAGATTTCAATCTGATTGGTTGAGACTTTGCAACACATAGCTCTCCTTCTAATTGAGGTAGAATGTTGAAACTTGGTGTAGATGTCTATTAGATGAATGCCTTGACAGAGTTCGATCATCAACATTTTCCACTTAAGCCAAGCAGAGATAAACAATTTGATTGGTTTAGGCCATGGAACACGATGATTTCGGTTCTAATTGGGTTAGAGTGACTAACCATTTACCTTGACTAAGTTCGATGATGAGTATTGGTCAAGATTTTGTAACATAACAACTCTGCTTTTAATTGAGGTAGAATGCTTAAACTTGATGTAGATGTTCATTAGGTGAATTTCTTGACTGGGTTCAATGATTTGGGACACGATTACTTTGATTCTAACTGATAGATAGTTTGATCGTGAACATTTTATGCTTAGACTAAGTATAGATGATTAGTTTGATTGCTCAATACTTTTGAAAAAAGATAAATGTGCAATTAATTAATATGTGTCAGCTATTTATTTTCGGATTTCGACGGGGGACATCAGTCTCACTGTTGGCTTATCATTTCATGTTATTATTTTATTTTTCATTTCAGTGCGGTACTATTCTAGGTCAGCCTGATAATGTCATTGATCTTGGTGAAACACAAATACCGAAAGAAACGTTTTTAGATTATCTAAATGAATTATCTAAGTCAGTATTCAGGTAAAAAAAAAATGTGAAGTGATTTTATTTTAATGTTTTAGATAGAAATAAATTGGGCATAACTTCTACTGAACAAAAACTGTGTCATTTCTGAACTAACATCTGGTGTATCTTTCTGGTAGTATTATTACGCTTCCATGCATGGGTTTTTTAATTAATAGCAGGAGGAAATCTGAGAACTAGGAGGAAACCTACGCGTTTCAGTTGGCAACATTATTCCCTGTGGAATAAAGGCACAGGATCGAAACCACAACACTTGAATTGATGATATACCTTAAGATCTAAAGAGCACACATTACAACAGTTGGCTACACACCCTTTAATCTTGTGTAAATGTCTGAGATATAAATTGTTAGATCTTATATATTAATGGTATATATATTTTATTTTTCTAGTGCGAATAAATACAATTTATTTGAACACAACTGTAATAACTTTAGTGATGAAGTAGCTGAGTTTTTGACAGGGAAAAGGATACCGTCTTATATTACAAGCCTTCCAGCAGAAGTTCTTAATTCGTGAGTAATGTTTAAACCTAAGCTTATGTTATAACTTTTCTTTCTGACTAGCAGATCTTATGGGGGAGTGCTGTCAAAGTTCTGTGTTGAACAACAGTTTTTCACATAATTAATGCCCTTGTGTGCCCAAAACTTGGTAAATTGTAAAATAATTTGCCAGGCAATGCTATATTCATGTATTTTAAATGCCTGTTTTTATTTTTAGACCTCTTGGTGCTATGATGAAACCTATGCTTGATACCATGAATGTTCAGCCTACTGGTGGACATACTCCTTTTGCTTCTACACAAACATCATATCAACAGCCACCATCTAAGACAGTTCCACCTAAAACTAATACAACTCCATCTTCATCTTCTGATAACCAATTAGACATATCCCAAATTCCAATCAGTTTCTATGTTAATATTGTAAGTTTTTTTATGCTATTTCTGCTGACTTAATAAGAGAGAGAGAGAGAAATGGGGTTTAACGTCCACTCGACACAAACTAGGTCATTTCGGGACTAATATATGGTTTGATTTTATTTCAATAATTCGCAGTGGGAGGGACCCGGAGAAAACCCACGAGGTTGGACAGGTGACAAAACTCCTTGTCACATACAACCGTGGATTCGAAACCACGCCAACTTAATAAGACTGGATAACAAATTAAAAAAGATTTTGTATAAGATGGTATTTATAATTGGTATTTTTGAAACAATCTGCAGGAGGAGCATAAAAACACATTGAAAGGAGAAGAAGTCCAAGGAACAATAAAATCAGCTACTTCTGATGTTGGTTTAAATTTATGGAATGAAATATTAGAATATCTACAGATCAAAAATCCAACCTGGTCCCTTAGTAAAGACCATCTCCACATCTTAGGTAAGTATTTTGAGAGTTTTGATGCAATAATTCAGTTAGTTGTATTAGGAAGGTGGGTGTCTGTAGGAAACCATGACCTGACAATATCATTGTTCTCAAAGATCTAAAATCTCTAATAATAATTTTGAATTTGTATATCTTGGAAAAGTTGTAATCTACAAAGTTCTACTTAGCCATATCAGTACTTAAATGTTTTGATTTTATGAATTTCTGTAATTGAATTCGAATGGTTTCTTTTCTCTTTTAGGTCAAATATTATGTGATCAATCTATAAAGACAATAGCATGGCAATCAACATGTTATATGTTACAGAATTTATTATTATTAGAAGATTTTATACCAGTTGTTGTAAATAGTAGTGAAAATACACTAGGAGAGATTCTGTCTACATATACACAGTTATCTCCTGAAAGAAAGAGCTCTATTGTAAAAGTGGTTGGTATATTATAAACTATTATATGTCTTTTATTTCTCCTTTAAGTATTTATTCTTATTGATTTTAATCTTGCTGAACAATTGAACAACTGTATGTAATATAAATTTTGATTCAGCAAATATTAAAAATCTTCTGGGTGTAAAATTCAAAGTCCAAAATTGGTCTTGTATGTTTTGTCTCAAAAACATTTTGATCGTAATACCAAAAATTTTCAAAATGATAACCACACTGTTGTTAAGACATAATGATTAATTTGGGATTTTCAATTTTATACTCACCGAAGATCTGTACAGTCGATTTTGATTTTATCTTTAGCTTGTTTGTTATTATTTCAGTTATGTAATGTATTAACCAGTAGAGGAGGAAGAAATATGTTATTTGGACCTAGTAAAGATGTGATATTAAGTAAACACTGTGTTAGTATTTGTTGTAATAATTTATTAGATGCTTCAGCAGGTGTTGATCTCTTACAGCCTAGTGCGGCTTTGGCTTTTAATATAAGCTTAGCTGAGGTGAGTGGAAAAAATTAGTATAGAATTGTTTGTATCATATTAAAATCTTGTGCCAAGTCGCAAAAGATGCCTCACCACATAAAGACGAATTTCAAACTTGCTTCCTTAAGAAAAGTAGGACTATAACCCTATTTCATTTCATTGCTTTTTTTAAGTGTTCAAATTAGGTGAGAAGAAATAATTATTGTCAGACCAAATTTCCTTTCATCTAAGTGGAGCTTACCATTGATCAAATGAACAGTGGGGTTTATGTATTTTGGCACACCTTCAATGATAAACAGTCTGGTAAAATTGTTCATTTTCTATATTCATTTGTGAAGCTATTTTAACACAAATACAGACACAATAAATTGTTATTGACTTATTATAGATTGATGGAGAAGTTGAAATTGAAATGTGCAGTGCTATTACAACAACCTTACAACAAAATGTTGATGAAAATACAGGTATATTTATTGTATTGTTTTGTGTGTCAGTAGTAATTCTTGATTGGATTTTATGAGCCTGATCAATATAGATGCAATAATACACATGATTGTGCATTTTTATTAACTACCTATTTGAGTGCAAACATATAATATGAATATTTTTTATTAAGAATATATCTAAATACAGTGTAACAGTAATTAAACTGTTGATCTAAGAATTTGTAAGTTTATTTCTTAAATTTATAAATCAGACAGAAAAGGTGTTAATTTCATGTTTACTTTATATACCTGTCAAAGGTACCAGTACATATTATTATGCATACTCACTGGTATGAATTAAATTTTCTTTTTTTTCCAGCTGTATATCTACTGTCTTTTTTGTTAAGAATAATGAGAAGAAACAATGAGGTATCAAATTTTTAATGGCTTATTTTAATAAACTTTCCAAAATTTTAAGAAACATTTTATTGCAGCATACACATGTAGTAGTTTGGAAAATGTTAATATTTTGAACAATGTAAACAACATCAATAATTTATCTATTGTTACTATTTACTGCAGTATACTTTTCAAATTATTTTGTTATTTTTCTTTTCTATATTGATAATTGATATACATATGTATGTTCATATTTATATTTTTCAGGTTATATCTTTAGTAGCCTTGTTGGGATGTCAATGGCCAAATTTGAATAATCTCTCAGAAAAGGTGAAGAGTCTCCATTCCTCAGTGGAATTCTTTTGTGCCAGTTGATTATGGACAGCTGACTTTTTTGTATATTGAATGTCTTTCCAGAATCTACTAAAGAAAATGTTATAATACGCCTAGATTTTATTTATATGTGCAGTGTAATATTGGTACTAATATTATATTAATATTGTATAATGTTGATTTTTTTAATGTAAAAGAAATGCTTTAAATAAAATTAGAAAATAGAATAATTCCGAGGTTGAATTATTTTAATTAAAATGGATTTATCTCCCGTTTTCGTTAGGAGTTTTCTCCCTTGCAACGGTCTCTTATGTTAGAGAAAAGAAAGGGTTTGGGTCAGACGTAAACTGTAAATAATTCACGTGTTGATGAAATACTAGAATAATTGCTGCAAGAATCTTGATACATAGTTTGTGTTCGGTTTGTATTGATTTATGCAGAAAAATACAACCTAGAGGGAAACACGCCAATAGTATAAAGACGTAGTGTAAGTTGTCAGTGTTGAGAATGTGTGTGAATCTCGTCCGCCATCTGGATTGATTTGATATGATACGTCCGTGTTTACTTTTCAACTTTTGCTTTATTACAGTATATCTATATATATCCCTTGACTTTTGGGTTTGTAAGGACGACACCAAGCACTCGTGACTTCTGTTCCTAAATATCCACCCCCCCCCCAGGTCGCTAGTAGCTTTTTATGACATGTTGGCAGTGCTTATCATAATCATATGCTATAGTTTCTGACTTCTACTTCTAGCTAATTTAGTAGAATGTTTCAAAGAGATACATACATGTAAAACCTTTCATGAAAAATGCAATACTTGTATAGTACATCATTTGATTTAATATACCTAGTTCCTGACACTCGACCTGTCCGTTCAGGAACGCCTATCATCTCTGTGATGCGGGTAAATGCTTCGTGTGTCAGTACCTTTGAACAAGTATGTACAATGTAAACAAACATTGCAGTTACAAAATTAGAAATTAATTGAAATGGGGTAAAACTTACTACCAAGCTAATGAAGACGGGCATACACCATATAGTGAAAACAGACTGTCAACCTACAAAATAAATTAACATACAAAAGAAAGTAGCACCTTAAATTTCATTTCACATAAAATCATCTCAACAAATATATTTTTGACTCGGAGCAAAGACTGACTGTCAATATTAAGGTCAGTTACTTTCTTAATTCAGTACCCTGTATCTGTTTTCCAAAAAGTCTACATCTGGAACAGCAATGGAGAAACCAAGTGGGTTTGATTTTTGGAAGACCAAGTTGAAGTCTGCAAAATATGTTGTTGCTCCAATGGTAGATCAAAGTGAATTACCATGGCGGATGTTGAGTAGAAGATACGGTGCAGAACTGTGCTATACGCCAATGTTTCATGCTGCTTTATTTAGTAAAGATACTATCTATAGAAATGAATCATTCAAGATATGTGAAGAAGATCATCCTTTAATTGTGCAGGTATTAGTACAAGAAAAATTATTATGTAACTGGCAAGTACCCTGAAATAAAATGTAACAAAAAGTTCTCTATTGTTTGATGACTAATATTTCCCCCTTCTCAGAAATAAAAAAATAATAAAGTTAATTTCTCTTTAGTGTTTTATTAGAATGGTCTAATATATATAATGTATTTAATTTTGTTTTGTATAGTTTTGTGCTAATGATCCAGAAATTTTACTGAAAGCAGCTAGATTGGCAGAACCGTATTGTGAAGCAATTGACATCAATTTAGGATGTCCACAAAGTATTGCCAAAAAAGGACATTATGGTGCCTTTTTACAAGATGAATGGGAACTCCTTGAAAAAATGGGTAGGTTTGAAAATAAAGAATGTGATCCAAGCGAAACAAGATGACATGGTCATAACATCCTGGACCCTTACATAAGGAATAAAGTCAAATTTGCTTCCATTGAAGCACAAACTTTATTCATCTGAGAAATTGGCATGATTTGTGACATGTATTATATATGACATGACCTGTGTTTCACTGGGAGCTGGAGAAAGGTGCAACTAAATTATGAGATTTCAATTTTTCCTTAAACATCCCTGACAAACTCAGCCTGTGCCTAATGTTAGGGCACCCCAAACTCAAATTATAAGTTCACCAGTGACTACAAGGTAGACACACAGCAAGTGCATAAGCTGGAGTAGGTTCTATTAGCCTATAAATATCCATCATACATGAAATTTTGTACACATCTATCAACTAATTAAGAAAGCATAAACAATTCTATTGTTAACAATTCTGAATTACAGTAATATTTATCTGATTTAGAAAGTTGTGTTTTGTTTGTAATTTGCTTTATTATTAACTACCGGTATACCTTTAAGAGTGGCATCTTTTGGTTTAGTACAATTATCTAAGAAGCACGTGGGTTAGACATGAACAGAATACTAGTAGTATATTCCTTTTGCTTTTACAAGGTTCTCAAAAAAATCGTTGAGTTGCCTAAATTGCCAGTTATTAAATTAGATTTCTTGATCTTGCTTTCTGTAATGCTTAATAGAAAATAGTCTTGATTATTAGTGCTGGCTTGTTGAATCACTTTCTCACGATTCACATATTGATTCGTGATACACTGAATTGATGTATCATGATTCTTTATTATGTTTTGTTTTTTTGGTCACTTTTGTAAGTTACCTGTCACTCTTAATTATCCACTTCAACAAAGCATATATGGAGTCCATTTGAATATTCATTCCCTAAACATAGGAAAATAATTTTCTTAAGAAAATATTACTAATCAGTAAAATGGATATTAGATATTTAGTTGTATTGGACTTTGTTTCTGCCAAATATGTACCACAGTTATATTCTATGTTGGTTTTATTGCAGTAAGTCTATGTAATAGGGAGTTAAAGGTACCTATAACATGTAAAATAAGAAGATTTGACAGTGTTGATAAAACTGTGGAATATGCCAAGATGTTAGAAAAGGCAGGCTGCCAGGTAAAATTGAAAGTTTATTTCATCTTTGATAGGATTGCTTGTTGAAAACGCCAAATAAAAAAGATGAATTCAGAATAGTATCATTCCCAGATTCCATTTCATATGATTTAAATATGTTTTGTTTGTTACCATATATAAACATTTGAATATAATATTATCTCCTACAGTTATTAACAGTACATGGCAGAACAAGAGAACAGAAGGGTCCATTAACTGGTCTAGCAGATTGGTCTTATATAAAAGCTGTTAAGTAAGTGAACCATTGTAAATGTGATTGCATATTTTATTCCTCCCAGATCTGTCAGAATTATTTGGTCAGTGATCAGGTGACTACAGGACTTGCAGTACACTTTTATAACAATTGGTGTGATCAATGATTTAGACAGAAGATATGATGATCTCAATTGCATTTTAATTTACTACTGTGCAGTTATTGACCTTGATAAATTGTAACTTTTTGGTTAGAAGTCATAGTTCTTAAAGTCTTTGTTGCATCATTTGCATTTCTTGAATGCTGTAGAGGTCACAGTTCTTGAAGAATGCTGCTGGTGGGTAGTGGTAGAACATAAAAGCCTGACACTTGGTACATATAAATATTGACTATCTACCCTGGTTCTCCTTGTGCGGAAGATGCGATGTATTTTATACCAATATATCCTTAAACTAGTTAAACAGCTCCAGACCTTCTGAAACTAGGCAGCATTTTTATGTGAACGTATATACTGTCGTCGCCCCATCCGATTTTGACAAAACTTTAAATATAGGTTTATCTCCAAAAGATCTTGGTTCCTTTCGATATTGGTATGTATTGGATCGTTACTTCATGGATTATGGCCTCTGATTGTATGAAAAATCATGTTTTTTAGAGGTCACAATTTTTATCCAATTTTGATGAAACTTGAATTATATGTTAATAACTCAACAATCTTGGTTCCTTTCGATAATTGCGCATATCGGATCATAACTTCATGAAATATGGCCCTTGATTGTAAGAAAAATCTGATTTTTTTAGCTTGTGGATGCTCTAGAGGTCCCGATTTTTATCTGATTTTAAATATATCAGACCGAAACTGCTCGACAAAATGGCCGCTCCTTGTACGCAAATAGTGTAAAAGTATGTAATACCAAGGTTGTGAACCCTCTACAGTTCACAATTTTCATTTGATTTTGATGAAACTTAAAATAAGTTCCTGTAGATATTCACGCATATCGGACCTTAAGTTCCTGGATTATGGCCCCTTTTATCGCTTTTTTTTTTTAGCTTATTCTCTGTACATCTCTTGCAAAATGTGGGCGTATCTTGCATGGCAACCAGTTGTTTTATCAAACTATTGCCTTGTGTTGTTTTTATTTTATCAAACTATATGTCTTGTGTTGTATTTGTTGTAGAGAAAATGTAAAGATTCCAGTATTTGCTAATGGAAATATACAATATTTATCAGATGTAGATAATTGTATAAAAGAAACTAATGTGGAAGGAGTTATGACCGCTGGTAAAAACTATTTATTGTGATTTAAACCTTTTCTGCTTTATAGTGAAAGGTCTTGTGCCATTGCTCTTGGGGTAAACATTTGACATTCAGAACAACTCAACTGATTTCAACCATATTTCAAATACAGATTGTAGAGGATTAGAATTGTATGACAAATTTGCACACCAGAGGAATTTTTGAATGCCATCTTCTATACAGACACCAAATATTTCTAATTTGATAATAGATAAACATAAATAAGATAGTAGTTCAGATTTTTTGATAACAAAATATCTAGAAGCCCTTTGGTTTTTATAGATTGAATTCATATTCTTGCTAATGCCATTTTTGTTTAGGGGATACAACTCTTAAGACACTGACCTTTCAGATATAAACTTGCCACTATGATATATTTGCTTATATAAATATTATTGTTTATATATTTTAGAGGGAAATCTACATAATCCTGCATTATTTCGTGGTATTAATCCATCTATCTGGGATATGTCATTGGAATATTTAGATTTAGCTGAGAAATATCCTTGTGCCATGTCAGCTGTAAGAGGTCATGTATTTAAAATATGTCACCATGCGTAAGTACTCATGTTAATTAGACTATGTAGTACAAATTATTTTCAAAACCAGATTTGTGATAAATATAAACTTAAACATACAATATGCCCATTGCAGGTCTTTCTTTAGGCCTGAAATGTTATCTAAATTATTAATGAGACATTAATTAACTTATCATGGCCATAATCAACTCTCGATGGCATCCGATTTCTCCGATATTAAATAGATTAGAACAGTTCAGCCAGACTTAGCTTCAAACAATCAGTACGGTGGTTGAAATTATTGTACAAGTTTTGTCAAACCTTCGAAGGCTATTATCTTCGCTCGCAATAGTGTAATTTGAATGAAATTTTCAAATTATTCATTTTACATTATCTTTTTTCGAACTATTATAGCAAGAATGGCTATATCTTTATCTAAATCTTACATAATGTATCTTAAATAATTGTACATTCAAATTCAGATTTCATGTACAAGTTGATAATATATGTAGACCAAAGATAGAGAAAAGGGTTTAACATACATGTACATGTATTACAAGTACATGTCAATATGTTTGATATAATAGATTACAAGTACATGTTGATATAGGATGTACTATTTCATATTATAGACTACAAGTACATGTTGATATAAGATGTACTATTTGATATTTTATAGATTACAAGTACATGTTGATATAAGAGATGAAGTGGCTGCTGCTAGAAACGTGGATGAATTTAAATTTTGGGTACACAAATTAAAAGAAGCCTGTCAGGTAGGAATTCAGGCAGTACAATTTCGTACATGGGTACAAAAAATGATGTAAAGTGACACAGTTCTGTTTCTTTGTTTTTTCATTAAATTTGAGTTAATCAAATGAAAAAGTTAAATGCCATATATTGATCTAGTAGTCCTGCTTTTTATGCCCCCCCCCCCCCAATCATTGAATGTGCATCATATTCTGTCATTCCCTCTATCCTTAGTCCTCCAACAGTTTGATAGAGATTTTTTTTTCAAATTTGGATTTCTCATTAAGGTTTCCAATCACATATTGTCAAGTTACCACCCATTTACATTCAGATTTATAAAACCTTGTTTACTCAATTCAGGTCAGAGTTCTTGCTTGAATATTATAAAACTTGGTGGGCTTGCTTCTCAGGGCAACAGAAAGACCCATATCAAATTTCAAAATATTCTGATCATAATTTTTGAAGACGTTTATTATTTTTGATATTGTTTGGTTTTATTAGACTGATGTAGAAAAGTATACATTAAATCCAGAAGAATGGAAGAGTAAATTACCATTACCATATTGGATATGTCAACCCTACGTACGACCAGAGTAAGTTATACCTTTTTTCTATATTAACTAAAGAAATTTGTGTCTGTTCAGTCTATTTTATAAACTTATACAGAATTTAAATCTACTGTTAAAAACTTTTTGTTGTTTGCAATGCTTGTAAAAAATAATACACACAGTCTCTGTGATTCCTGTACTTAACAATTTTAGGGTAAATTTATTAGTACTGCTGTCAATTGTCATTAATAATCTTAAGCCCATGGTTTTAGTCTATGCAAAGAAAAATAGGGAGCAGTTCAGCAAACAGGTGTGTTACTTAAGATGTTTTGTTCTTAAGCTAAGTAATTTATTTTGTTTTTACAGTCCAGAAGCGGAAGTGAATCCAGAAAAGAAAGCCGCAAGGGAGCGAATGCATTTAAAACGAACAGCTGAAATAAAGAATTTGCCTACTGAAGGGCTATCAAAGAAGCGGTTGAAGAGATTGCTGAAGAATCCCAATAAGAAATTTGATGCTGTACGCCAAGTTTATGTGATGTGCACCAATTCCAGTATTAAATGTGGCAATCCAAGAGTGAGTAAACAGAACTATGGTTCAAATGATTTACTAGGATAGCAAATAAAACAACAGGCCTGTATTTGTATGTGGTCTAGTAAGTCATGGTTGCTCAGTAAATGCTGACTCATTAAATATGAGATCCCTGTGTTGGCCGAGAAAAGACCAGACAAGGAAAAATGTTTTATCAGATGGAATGGAAAACCGCAGTCTTGTGTACAGTTTAGAGGCCATCCAAGCAAAATTTCCCTTATACTACACAGCTTGGCTTATTCCTGTCTTCGGGGTGGGGGGGGGGGGGTTGGTGTATGGCTGAATGGTTAGCACGCGTGCGCTGTATCATACGGTCTGTCATTGAGTTAACTGGCAGTGTTTCGATTCCCCGGTTGTACGTGACAAGGAGTGGGGTGATCTGTCCAATCTCGTGGGTTTTCTCCGGGTCCTCCGGTTTCCTCCCACTGCTAAAAACCCCTACGCGCATGCGAATTATTGAAATAAAATTGAACCATGTGTTGGTCCCGAAATGACCTGGTTTGTGTCGAGTGGACGTTAAACCCCATTTCTCTCTCTCTCTCTATTCCTGTCTTCATTAGACCTGTTGATACAGAAAAGTAGGACAGTAATAAACTACATTTCATTTCTGTATTTATGTACTCAACTTAGGTAGTTAAAGGAACATAGTAAGGATAACTAAACTCATGAATATTAATTAAAATATTTTATTTAATTGTAATAAGATGTGCTATTACAATATATTTATTCAATCATCATCATTATTCTGTTTTTGTTTGGAACTTACTATTATATAAACTGTTGTATTTGACAGAATATGAAGTGCCCATTTCAATATTGTAAACCGTGTTGTATGGAGAAAACAAGAAAAGAAATCCTTGATTGTACAGGTAAGGTGATAAAAACAATTCTTTATATTGCAAGAGTGTAAGTTATTGCCATTGAGTATTGTCAATGGGATAAATAATATGTAATACAGAGGAAACAGAAGCGTGAATTACATTTAATGAGACTGAAGACTTTCTACCTGCAACAAAATGGCAGTGCATAATTTGAAGTTTACTTTTAGTTTATTAGCAGAAAAATGAAACAATTTGACACATTAACCATTAATAGGTACAAAATACCTTAAATTGAATAAAAACCCTTCAGAGTTGGTGCATGTAAATGTTCACTATCCCAGTTCGTTGAAGAAAATTAGAGAAAAGTGATCTATTTATACAGATACATCTCTGGACAGACTAAAACTGCTGTTCTTTAGACCGCCTCAAACTTTCCAAGATATGCAAATAGCTTTCCATATTAAAGAACTGTTTACTAGTTGTCCAGGATGGGGCAGTCTAAGGAGCTCTAATTAGGGCAGTGTAAGTGCTAAAGGGTTGTGGTAAGAAATAATGTTTGCTTACCAGTTTGTCTTTAAAGTCAACATAATGCGATCAGTGATAAGAGCTAAATGTCATGTCATCAAACATTTAATAAAATGGGTATACATGTATCACATCATCTGGGGTTAGTTGACTATGAAAGGGATAATGCTCCAAAAACAACGTTTTCGTACATCTTGCACACAATGTTACATTACCTCTCGATTAAGACCTGACCACAACTTGTTTATATTTTACGCTGAAATTTGTTACTTTAAATCTTCCTAGTGCTAAAATGGAAAATGTGACAAAGAAAAAAAAGTGAATTTAGCAAGTTTACATTTTTATTGAAAGTATGGTTACTTTCTATCATTTTCAGCTTATTTTTATGATACAGGAATGACTGCGCATTCACTTTCAGTGCAAACAAACCTATTTGACCTTTGACTCCGAATATCTCGAAAGCGCCCCAACGGCGGACTGATTACCATCAGCATCGTATTCTACGCAAAAGTTGGGTCTGGTTTTGTGCCCATTTGATGGACAGCACCCCCCCCGCGCTGAGCCTCCAGGCTATTAGTTTACAAAAACAGTGGAGAACTATATATAGGAGTAGCTACTACACTGCATGACTAGTCGAGGGTCAGAACTGTGAAATGTGTTTGGATTTGCTTTGAGGTTGAACACTACACTACTCGATGATGGATGGTCGAAAGCACTGCACTGAGAATCTTGGGTTTGCTAATGATTTATTGTGCTTCAATCAAATATTTCTCTTGTTTCTTCTAACCCCTAAGCGACAAAGCTATTTGTGAGTGTAAACAAATTATTTTAGTTCCGAAAGGATAATATATAGTCGAACCTCATTTCCTTCATCCCCTGAACTCATTTAGGGTGAAAATGAAACACTACATTAAACTATTACTTCTGTGGCAGTGTGAGTTAAGTTAAACTAGAGCTTATTTTTTTACATGGAGGTGTTTTGTTCAGTATACCTTATTCAGCCCTAAGACCATCTAGAAAAAAGAGCTAAATTTTGGATGTTTGGGTTTGGCCCGGTTCACTGATTTTTAATTGCCTGGTATGCTAATCTAAACAATATGTCCAACTTGAGTGGCATTATTGCTGATATAGATAGTCCAGTTAGATAAGAGTTGATAGCTATAAACCTGCCATTGTGAGTATCAAATGACAACATTTTAATTTCTAAAATAAAAAGCTCTTTTTTATATAAATCATATTTATTATCGATGATGAGGTTGATAGATAACAGCTTAACACTATTATATACAAATTACTCAATATAACACTTCAAGAATAGCCTAAAAGTATGTAATACAAGGTTGTGGTCTCTTTAGAGGTAAATTTAATATCTGATTGACTTTAAATTAATATCCGTGTTTACAAAGAATCCTATTGATTTTCACCAAATTCCGATAATTACTGCCAGAGTTACATATATCGCCCTTTATCACTTTGAAAAATCTGGTGGACGCTCTAGGGGCTAAAGTTAATATCCGATTGACTTTAAATATATACACAGTCTTTAAGGTCATCAGACGAAGAAGCCGGTTGATTTTCAACGATTTCTGATAATGACTGCCAGATAGTTATCAACTGATTGATTTTATATTCATACACCGTGTTTACGCCTATATATAATAGTTTCGATTGACTTTAGATTGATACACAGAGTTTAAGGTCTTGAGACGAACAAGTATATTGATTTTCAATGATTTTTGATAACTTGAACAGCTAAATACATGACATTAAGTGTTTTGTATATACGTTAGCATGGGCCAAACAAATTCCAATGATTTTCTGATAATTACATAACGAGTTGTTACTCTTAATCAGATTTAAGTGTATTGTAAATATTTCATTACCGACAAATATCTCTGTTCCTTTTGATATTCACGCAAATCAGACCTAATTTCCCGTCTTATGACCCCCAATTTTACGAGAAATCACGTTTTTATCTTGTCCGATTATATGTTTATATCCCAAAGTTCTGGGTTCCAGTCGATACTTCGGACCGTGTCAGCCTGGATTATGATACCTGATTGTACGAAAAACCTGTTTTTAAAGCTTGTTCTCTGTCCATCTCTTGCAAAATGTTGGCGTCTCTTGCATGGCAACGCCTGTTTCCAAATATATTTCATATTCAAGCTGTATATTAAATAACAAATAGATTGTTTTGGGGTAACCTCTCCCTGTATTTAAAAAATCCGTAAATGTTCATATTTTTGAACGAACATAAGATATTTTTGGATCAAATTTTCTTTAATAATAATTGATAAGTTTGTAAATAGTATTGTACCTTGTAGTCACATATAATACATGTACGATGGCTCAATAGGCCCTTTTCTATGGAAATAAATATGCATAGATGAATGTAAAATGCCACTGGCAAGAGTTATACATAGATAATGTGCTCAACAACGCTTATTTTACTTATGAATATTAATCTCCCCAGGAAAAAGGTCCAAAATCATTTAATTGGATAACATCAAATTGGTCAATGTCAAAGTATATGAGTAAAATAGTGTAAGATATTTTATAGCCTGGCTTAGAGAAGTTGCTGTAGATATTACATCTCATTAAATAAGCATATTATTACCGGTACTTTATGTAATATTTGAATCCATTTTTATACGCTGACATTTTCATGTGGACGTATATTGTCGTCGGCTCTGTCCATCCGTCCGGACGTCCACAATTGTTTGTGAACACTCTACAGGTCACAATTTTTATCCAATTTCAATGAAACTTGAAATATAGGTTAATCCCCCTAAGATCTCGGTTCCTTTCGATATTGGCATGTACTGGACTGTAACTTCATGGATTATGGCCCCCGATTGTACGAAATATTACGTTTTGAGTTCGTGAACAGTGTAGAGGTCACAATTTTTAGCCGATTTGGTTTAAATTTGAAATTTATGTTTGTATACCCTGGCTAAAACAAGATGCTACATCTAATTAAATAAGCTAATTATTACTTTATGTAATATTTGAATCAATTTTATTTTCATGATATAATTATTATATTAAATTGTTATTAAATCTGTTTATTTCTACATTCAATTTGATTATTTTCTTTTATTCTCTTATTCATTTTTAATTTTAATTTCAATTGAAAATCCCACAGAACCTGATTTCCAAATCATCTAGCTTTTATATTCTAAATATAGAGCAGTGTAATATGACACTTATACACTGCACCATCTAAATAGATAATAATTGGGCGACAATTTATTATCTTTGAGAAGTTGATGACAGGATTCTCTTCAACAAACTTCCATTATCTTTGAGGTCAAATTCCTAAACATGAAGAAATCAGGCTGATTTCTAGTTGGTCTTAAGAGTGTATAGAAACACAACCCTAAAAAATATATAATAAGTGCACACAAGGAGTATGTGTATAATAATTATTTATTTACAAATCAGTACAACATTTTTGTAATTAATATATGTCATGGTTTTCTGAATTATCAGAATACATATTTAGTTCACAATTCACCATAATAATAGGGTTTAACGCCTATTTAACATACAACAGAACCAATTTACCACATTCACAATTGTTGTGTTCGTCGGATTATTCTTGCCACAGATACAAACGATGTATTCCGAATTCTTGAATGTTCTAATTCCACACGGCGACTAACAGAAAACTCACGGATCGTAACAGAAAATGATCGAACTTGTATTGGGTTAATTACCATCTGACAGTTGTTTCCGGTGGGCATCTGGCTCTCCTGGCAACCGGAATAATTTTCAGGAATTGCCATATTGTCTGTAAATATAATAAAACAAAACTTACAAATTGAAGATGGGGGTAAAACACTGTATTTATTTGTAACCGTGAGATGAGATTAGCTAATTAGAGGTGAAAGCCTATTGTTATTACTAAGATTAATATTATTTTTTTTTATTGGGGGAAGCTAGATCTCAGCAACTATAAGAGATAGAGGTTTGAAATTTGATTTTCTGTGGGAAAAGTGGTGTGCAGCTACTGCTTAAAACTATTTTGAAATTTGTTCGCATACCGGAAGTGATGTTAAGTACGAAAAACGAAAACTGGTCATAAATGTGGGAATTCTCAACCGATATTTACATTTTTGGATAGCTGGTTACATATCTGGGCAGATAGTAGTTCAAAACCGACAAATTTAGAAACTTTGTCGCTTTCATTTTTTTGGTGAAAATTGGAAAATTTTCTAAATTTTGGTAAAATTTTTATTTTTTGGAATTTTTACATTATGATTACATTTTTAGATAGCTAGTGTCGATCCGATTCCAACGATATAAAAAAATATCTGAAATGTTAACTTTGAATTTTCGCATTTTGGTCAAATCGTAGAGTTCTTATTTTTTTAAAACGGCTCCAACGATTTTTCGGAAACCTCAGGAATATGAAGTCGAAGGTCTAATCCAGTCCTTAAACTATAAATGAACTGCACTGAACTATAAACTATAAATGCACTGAAACAGCACTGCTGAGAGTATATAACGATATTGTTACT